ATCGATGCAGGCATCGATGTCGGTATCGATGCAGGCATCGATGCCGCCATCGATGCAGGCATCGATGCCTGCCCTTCTCCTTTTGCTGTCCGCAGAGTTCCTCTTCTATTGGCTTTTGGACTTGGATTTTGGGCTTTTGCTTGGGCTTTTGGGCTTCTTGATTTCTTCATGTATTTATTTTGGGCTTTGGCATTTCTTGGGCTTTTCTTCTTTTTCTTAGCTTGGGCTTTTGGATAATTTGGAAATTGATTTTCCAATTGGCTTCATTTCTTCATTTAATCATGGGCTTTTTGTTGAGAGATGGGAATTTGAGATTTATTCTTCATTAACCTGCAATTAAACATAAAAACAGTTATTAGTGGTATATTTATTCATATAAAATAGATAATGAGGGTATAAAACTGTAATAAAATATGATTATCACTTACCCCCACACCTAAACTTTTGCTAGTCCTCTAGCAAAGAAAATAAAAAGAAAATCCTAACTCACTTTCGCAGGAATCGCGGTTTTCTTTTACTGTTATTTCTGAATTATTTTAAGTTTTAAGTTATGTGGGGGATTGTTGGAGTTATAATAAAGATAACTTAAAACTTGACTTTGTAGAGGAAAAGAGGAAAAGTTTAGTCCCACATAGGAAATGGAATAGGAAGAAAGAGTCTTTATAAGCCTTCTATTTCTCTCATATGCCTAGAAGAAAATAAAGGTTATGCTCCACACCACACACGCGCGCGCCGGTCGGGCCGGGCTCGGGGTCGGGTCGGGTGGCGCGCGCACACGACCTGCGGACACGAATGCAGCTCCGGATTAATGGGCCCTTAATATGCTAACATTTTTATTTTTAGTAATTAAAACGTGTTAATTACGAGATTTATGAGTAATGGCTGTTTTTCCCTATAAAAGGATCTAAAATCCGAAGAGTTTAACACATCGAATTACAAATAAGCTCTTCTCCTTCTTCTCTGTTCTTCCTCTTACATTTGCTTACTGTTACGATTTGCTGGTTCCCTGAAAGTGGAGAAGAATTCGCAAAGTCTTCTTGAAGCTCGTGCCGACGAGAAGAAGGTCGCCTGACCGAGGGTCGTTGTATCTCCAGGAACTTTTGTCACGTAGCCCTGTACGAGAGGGGGCAATTAGATTCTTGGGACAGTGCTTGCACGCCTCGACCATCAGGTCGTATTTCTAACTTTTATTTACTTTCATTTGAATTTTATTTCTGAGCTATAACAGTTATCTATTTTTATCTAATTTCTATTAACTGTTTATAACTTAATTCATGTTAATCTTTGTCTACATAGCTTATATTCCTAACATGTTAAAGTTACATGTTAGTTGTTAAGGTTACATATTTGTTGTTAATGTTATGATTTGATTGTTAAGGTTACAGTTTGGTTGTGAAGGTTACGGGTTGGTTGTTAAGATTACGAGTTGACTGTTAAGTTACGGGACCGTAACCTTAACAACTAACGCGTAATGGGTGAATTCTCATAAACAACAATATTAGGCAATTGAAGAGCTAAAAAATAGAAAATGAATATTATAAAAATATTTTTAGAATTCAAAGACTTCACAACCAACGCTTATCCTTAACAACAAACCTGTAACCTTAACAATCAACGCATAACCTTAACAACTAACACGTAATAGGTGAATTCTCATAAACAACAATATTATGCAATTGAAGAGCTAAAAAAAAATAGAAAACAAATATTATAAAAATATTTTTAGAATTCAAAGACTTCACAACCAACGCTTATCCTTAACAACCAACCCGTAACCCCAATGCGTAACCTTCACAACCAACTCTTATCCTTAACAACGAATATTATAAAAATATTTTTAGAATTCAAAGACTTCACAACCAACCCGTAACCTTCACAACCAACGCTTATCCTTTACAACCAACTCTTAACCTTAACAACCGACGCGTAATTTTAACAACCGAACCGTAACCTTCACAACTAATCCTTATCCTTAACAACGAATATTCTAAAAATATTTTTAGAATTTAAAGACTTCACAACCAACCCATAACCTTCACAACCAACACTTATCCTTCACAATCAATGCTTATCCTTAACAACAAACCCGTAACCTTAACAATAAATCTGTAACATTAATAACCAACGCGTAACCTTCACAACCAACATGTAACATTCACAACCAATCCTTATCCTTAACAACGAATATTCTAAAAACATGTTTAGATTTCAAAGAGCCCAAGAGCCCTAAGGCCCATCAAATACCTTTAAATATATATTGTGGTTGTAGGGGTTTGAACCCCTAACCTCTTGTCCAACCTTCCAAACTTTACCACTAGGCCAAGTGGCCCAAATTATTCATGTCACTCAAAATAAATCCCAACATGTAACCTACACAACCAACCCATAACCTTAACAACCGACCCATAACCTTAACAACCGACCCGTAATCTTAACAATCGAGCCGTAATCTTAACAACCAACGCATAACCTTCACAACCCATAACCTTAACAACCGACCATAACTTTAACAACCGACTTGTAACCTTAACAATGAACCCTTAACCTTAACAATCGACCCGTAACATTAATAACCAACCCGTAACCTTAACAACCGACCCTAACATTAACAACCAACGCGTAATCTTCACAACCCATAACCTTAACAATCGACCCTATCCTTCACAACCAACTCCGCCCCGCTGCCGTTGTAGGCCTCTTTCAAGGCTTCCGAGGTTTGCTTTGCTTAAGATGTCCTCAAAACAAATTAAAATTCAAATACTAGCGGAGTAAGGTTTGTAGAATATTATAGTCATCATCAGCTCCAAGCAAAAATTTCCCACCATCAGTTCCGTAGAAAATTTCTTCACTTAAAAAAACATCATTAATTGCTTCGGGAGAAAGCCCAAAAAATTTCCCACCATCGTTGACGTTGTTGGCAATGGTCAGCCTGTAGCTCCTGAGGAGGTAGTCCAGCTCCCACTCCGGCATCGCCTCATACTGCACGCGCGTGTACCATGGGTAATGCAGCGACATCTGGAAGCAGCTACTCTCGCATCTCTCCTTCCCAAATTTTCATCGCCGATGTCGACGCCGTCGATGTCGATGCTGTTGAAAAATTTTGGAGGAAACTAGAAAAATTTACCCCCAAAACCTAGTTGAAATCATCACAGTAACATCATGAGAGAGAAGGGTATTATAGTCTTCATGTATTTTAATCTCTTGAGTTTTGTGTTTGGGGGCTCAAAGAACAAAAAGTTTATTTTTGAGGGCAAAGCACCTGTTAAAAAAGTCATGGGAGGGGGAAGCACGTTTTCTTTGGTTTTAAGGGCTGGAAGCATTTTTTCCTAATAAGAAATATAATTTATCTTGATATCCATAAATAAAAAGAGACAGTATTTCAATTATAAAATTAAATTCTTTCTCTTAGATATTCCAGCCTGAAATCTTTTTGTTTTTGAGATTTAATAAACGTAATTTAAAAAAGGTCGACATCACAGCGAGGCTCCTAACCCTTTGCTATTAAAAATGGACAACAATTAAGGATGAGTTTGGTGTTGGTTTTTTAGGATGCTTTTGCTTTTTTTTCCTTTCAGGAAATAGCCAATAACGGTGTTTGATGAAATCTCTTCTGACATATTTATTGAACCTTTTTGTGTTTAATAGGGTGCTTTTAGAAGCAACCTGGGTATGCTTTTTAAAGTAGCTTCTGCATTTTTAAGTTTATATACCATATATTCCTTGCATGTTTTAATAATGATCATTAAGCATAGTTCTTCCAAAAACATTGACTAGTTTTTAAGTAGTTTTTGATATTCTGATTACCAAATTGCTATTTTCAATAGTGTATATAAGTTGTTTCTATAAGTTATTTTTATAAGCAAATTATTAGAAGCTCGAGCAATACCAGACTGTTCGTAAGTCACTACGCAGCTTTAGAATGAATCATATCAAACTATAAAGTTCTGTGGTGGGGTAAATCAACACACTTCAAAAGGGTATATTTTGAAAAATCATTACTATCATGGTCCATAACATAAGTGTGTAAATAAAAGTCACCAGCGTTAGCACCATAATAGAAAGGTGTATGATAAAATTAAGGCTACCATGCATTTGAAGAGAAATAATCGAAAGGTATATGATAACACATTACCTCTTCACTTATCATCCAAAGAGCATGTCAAAATCAATACGAAAACATCATATAAATAATCGAACATTATCACACTGCTCAAGTGACAATAATAAATCACAAAAAGCATATTAACCTGCACATCATGGTATACTTTCCACAGAAATCCCTGTAAATGGAGGGTCACTCAAAACAAGCTCCATTTCAATTCTGCGGCTTCTCAGCAGCTCCGCTACCTTTGCCATTGTTGATCGGCTCTGTGGATTGGCTTGAGTACAGGATAATCCAATGTGTACAACATGGATGATCCCTTCTTTTATATTTTCCTCGTAAATAATTTCATCTATAATTTCTACTACCGTGCCAGCCTTGTAATGGTTCCATATCAGCAGCAGGTGAACAAATGAGAAAATAGATGCATTAAACAGGGTGATACGCAGTTAAATGGTTGAACTCATAAGCTAATATAAATTTCAACATAACTCAAAGATGCAAACATGTAAAGAAATTAGCTTAGTATCAGAATACATCAAGTTTTGCAATCAGTCAAGAGAGAAGCTAAAATCACCTTTGCAAAAAGCGAACGCCTGGGCTGAGATCCTAACAGATTGCTGCATCTTTTACCGCCCACGATTTCAAAAATCAGCATGCCGTAGCTGCATACATTTGCTTTTTCTGTGAGATGCCCATGCACGATATATTCTGGAGCTAAATAACCCCTGCATCCACCTCAGCACATCAGTATTATTTTATCATCAATTTTATTCCTCAAGTAGTTAACAATTCGGTTTAACTGTTAACAAATAATTTTTATTCATCAGATCTATGCGATTCCATATTACAAACAATTTTAGGATGGCTTACAGTGTTCCAGCTATTCCAGTGCTAAGATGAGTTTGGTCCTGAGAGAAAGATCTTGCAAGTCCAAAATCTGTTATTTTGGGCTTAAACATTACTGGCCTTTATGTCTCGATGAATGATTCGAGTTTCAGATTCTTCATGGAGATAAGATAGTCCTTCTGCAACTCCTCTAATAATATCAAACCTCAGCTGCCAGTTTAAATGCTTATTATGGTTCTCACCTGCAAAGTTATGTCCAACTTTATCAAGGAAATCTAACAGGGACACTCAGCAGTACTTCTTGATCAGAGAAATGCATAACTAGGCTAAAATGGAAAACAGGGGAAAAAACATAATACCAGAAGTCGTAATACCATAAGAAAAATGTTAATGCTTTGGTTTTATGAGTAGGTTGAAAATTTAATAACCTTCTATATATGCTTACTATAGAAAAGATGCAAAACATACAGAATAATACACTTGAAAGGACAATCTCTCTTGAAAATGAAGCAATTAGTCAATGAAAATGAGCATCAACTCACCAAATATGAACAGGTCTAGGCTCCGGTTGTGGTAGTACTCGTATACAAGCAAATTCTCAGGGCCATCTACACTACAACCAAGCAGCTTGACTAGATTTTTGTGACGAACTTGATTTATCACAGATTAACTTCATTGAAAAACTGATCAACCCACTGTCTTGTGTTAAGGAACAGTCTCTTTACGGCAACTTCTTTTCCATCAGAAAGAACAGCCTATAATTAAGGTAAGCCCAAAAACCCATAAGAATGATCTTGAATTCCTATATTGCATTAGTCATTTTTGTACCTTGTAAACAGTCCCATGGCTCCCCTGACCAATTCTATTTGATGGGCAAAAGTTCCTAGTAGCCTTTTGAGCTCCTCATATCTGAAACTCAATTTTGATTGAGAAACAGTCGCGGGTAATCCTGGCCCAGAGAAATCTGCAAGAAGTTTGAATAGTCATGACTATGAGACTACATAAGTCTTTCCGTATTCATGGTTATATCTTTTATGTTTACCTCCAAGAGCACCATTCTTTTTAGGGGCTGTTTGGTTCGTTTCCTAGATATAGGGAAATGCAATTCTATGTAAAGAAATGCTAGTTTTGAGTTTTCCAAACTTTTCCAAAAAATAGATTGTTTCGGTTTGGTTCGCACATAAAAAGAGGTGAGAAACCAATGTATTTACTTTTCTTGTGTTTGGTTCGCATGGAAAAAAAGAGAGAACTTTTGTTGATTTGACATTTCTCATTTTTCTTGTGTTTGGTTGGTTTTGAAGTTTGTAGGATAGGGAAAAATGTTTATGGTCACCATGCTAAGATTACCATCCCACTATAGACAAATTTATTTGTGCTTGTTATGGGAAAGTAACATAAAAGTGCGGGTAATCTTAATCATATAAAAGTGCGAAAGTAACATAAACAAATAATAATATCCCGAATTCATTAAAAATTTTAGTTTGTATTAAAGAAATTATACGAAACCTGAAATAACAAGAATCAATTACTATGAACTGCGTACCTGATTTGACCTAAAATATATACCTGTTTGAGATATATACCTGTTTGAGATGAAAAAATCACACGAAACCTGTTAATTTGTGAAAAATTAAACGAGACTTGCAATAACCTGATTATTCATAAATTTATGAAATACGTACCTAAATTAGCCACATGTATATGTGAATTATGGCTGTGGGCTCAGACCTTGTTCAATATCATCATTGTTAGCAATCCAGTGCAATATCAATAGATATTGCAAGTTGCTAATCTCAAAAAAATTGACAATCATCATAGCCTACATTGAACACGAGAGCTCGACGACGAACACAAATAGCAACCAAAACCCAACAACATAGAGCTAAACAAGCTCAAATCAGCATAGTAAGAAAAAACAGCCACGGGAGCTCTACAACGAGCACAAATAGCAACAAAAAACCCAACAACATAGAGCTAAACAAGCTCGAATCAGCATAATACGAAAAAACAGCCACGGGAGCTTGGCGACGAGCACAAATGAGATCTGAAAAAAAATCAGGCTTCACATCCCAGAAAAGCACCACCTGAACACAAACATCCTAGAAAAATAACCATGCTTCACTTTCTAATACAAGCACCACCTGAACACAAACATCCCAGAAAAACAACCAGGCTCCACATCCCATAAAAACACCACCTGAACACAAACATCCCAGAAAAACAACCAGGCTCCACAACACAACCAGAAAAATGCACAAATAGAACTTGAACACAAACATGCTCACAAATGCCCATAAATGCACACAAATGCTATATACGACTTGTCATATGAAAACCATATGAATAGCCCACAAATACCCACAAACTTAAATATAACATGAGTTTGCACACAAAATCACTAAGGAAATTAGTGAAATGGGCTCAGAACTGAATCAATATCATCATTGTTAGCCATCCGGTGCAATTTTAAAAGATATTGCACTTGATTGCTAATCTCAGAAAATTTGACAATCATCATAGCCTACAAGTAAATAGTCACCAATGTAAACTCGTTTCATGAAAACTTACTGCTCAAAATACCCAGAGCAATAGGCTCAAAACTTGGTCAATATCATCGTTGTTAGCCATCCAGTGCCATTTCAAAAAGATATTGTATTTGGTTGCTAATTTCAGAAATTTTGACAATCATCATTTAGTTTCACAGTTGGACATTACATTGGACATGATAAAAGGGTTACAGATAGTTTCACAGTTGGACATTACATTGTATAACTGCCAAGTTTTGCCTGATATAATGAACATATGCAAAGTAAACTATTTGATACTTTGAAACAATATTGTAACAGGGAAAACTTTGAAACAAATAAATGAATAATTATCAAATAGTTTCACAGTTGGACATTATATTGGACATTGTCGTTTTGATTGTTTTTAAGTCACGACCCTTTTCTCTGCTTTAATAGAAAGAAAACTATTAAATCGGCATGTGTTCATTGATATAATGAACATATAGCCATGAGCCAGATTTCTAATATCAATTATCACTTTCTAAAATAATGACATATGTGGTTGAATTTCAATAGAAAGAAAGATCAATAAGACTTGATATAAACTAGGCAATAGGGGCACTATCATAGTCTCCTGAAATGGAGAATTATTGTAGAAGTTTGCATATAAAATTACAAAACTTTTAGTTTTTGAATGTTTAATTTCATTGAGCGAGAAAAAATTATCTGTCCCATTTCTCTTCAAAAATCTAATTAGGGTAACCCGTGTTCATAAAAACAACATCAATAATTAAAAAAAATGAGCTAATTGCTCCATAATCATTGGCTCAAGCTTCAATTTCACTAGCTAAACTGATTTTGACCCTTAAAAACTACCTTTAATCATCAATTTAAAATCAAACTATTCCATCATTTTAGCTTAATCTGAGCTCCAATCTCATCGATTTTAACCAAATCAAACAACAAAAACACAAAATTGACCCCCCCCCAAAAAAAAGAAAGAAGAATAAAGGAGCAGAGATCAAACCTACAAGCTCGAAGCTTAGATGCAGTAACTCCAAAAAATTTCGCCCAATTGTTAGGTCTTATAAAGAGAGAGATGCGAGTACGATTTTTACCTTGATTTTGGAATAATCTGAAAATAACAAAAACCTCAGATATGAACAGCGTCGGCAAAGATCAGAGCCCCTCCCTCTAATTTCTTCAAATACATGGACAAAGAAGGTCGCGGGAGTTTCTGGCGGGTGCGATGCGAAGGAGGTAACTCTAGCTCACCGAAGAAATCAACGAGGAAGAAAAAAATCCGACGTGACTAAGTTTTCGTCGATTTCACTCGGTTGGGGAAGGAAATGGGGGAGAGGAAAAAACCCGACGTGGAGGTGATATGTGCTTCGGTTTCTCTCTTATAGCCCTAGCGAAACAAATCAGAGAAAAAAATCAGCGGAAACCAAAAATCAGACGTAGAGGAGAAAAAACCGACGTGGAGGCGAAATAATAGTTTTCCACGGGGTTTTAAAACAAACCAAACAGCCCCTTATTACCATGGAAGTCATCTTTCCTCCAAACCACAATAATACCATTTATCAACAAAAAGCCACCAAGCGAAGAGAGAAGTATAATCCACAAGATATTGCTTTTCCCTGAGTATTGAAGTCTTTCATAAGTGAAGCAAGCCTAATTGATAGGGATCAGCTGCAGATACAGCTGCAGATTTCTTTAGACAAGATTTTATCTTTAAGTTAGATGATTTGTTTGATGGATTATCGGCGTGTTTGGATAAGATTTCTATTTTAGGGATCATTTGATCTTTGCTTTAGGATTAGTTTGGATAATATTTTCAGTTTTGATATTATTTGTTATCTCCGGGATCAGTTTTCTTTTCTTATAAATACTTGCATCTCTCTTGAAAGAGGCAGACGATGATTTATGAATTTTGAGAAACGATGCTTTATGTGAGAGAAATTTTGACATGTGAGTTGTCATCTATTTTGCATGTGAGTTGCAGTTCCATCTAAGGCATGTAAGTTACCCGTCCATCTTATATCCATCTATAACCTCAGCAATTCACCAAATTAACCCTAAACTCAAGCCAACAAAAGTCCTCATCTGTTCTCAAGTGAACAGTAACTTCAGAATTACTGTACATTCGCCATCATAAGTTTGCAATCACGCCCAAAGCAACCAGCCACTGCCATCGCAGATCATTCGGCCTGCAGCCAACATATTCAGCCTGCGGCAGCCCCAACCTGACCTCGACGACCTCGACTCCAGTTAACAAGGTCCTCGCTGACATTAGAAGCATTTCTCACCCACTCAGCTTGTCTCCCTACAGATTTGATTACACTGATTTTATATTATTTATTGATATGGTTGTCTTGTGTTCTCAGGTACTTGTTAGAGTCAATCTGAGTAGTTGAATCGACTGTTATCAGTTCCTGTGCAAGATCACAATTGATTGTCGAGGAATCTAATTAATTTCATATTTAAATATAGGTTTTATATGGTTTGGATATGAATTTTTATCCCTCAAGTGAATTCTAACCACAATCATAGTTTCCACTGATTAGTTTTGCATTGCTATAGATTGTTAGGAATTCATAATTATTATTCTCATTATTGTGATAACTATAGATCTCATTCCTTGTTTGCTTGGATTCAAATTGCATTAATAATCCCTTAACGTCTTGTTCTGCATCACTAATAAATGATCATAAGTTCTCGACAATGAAGAAAGGAAAGAAGAAAAAGATAACAATTGACCCAAAGAACAAAGGGGCAGAGCGAAAAAGGAAGAATGACACTATCAAATTTGTTGTTCTCGTAAGTGATCAAGATGTAGATTAACTAATAAGTTAACAAGTGGAAACTCAGGACTCAAGAATACAATTACGAAAATTGCCAGGTTATGATATAGACAGTTCTAATCACATAGGAGGACTCACTAGACAACTCATTTTCCTTGTTACGTAAAGGGAGTTCTGCACATTCAATGTGTGGTGGGAATACATGACCATTTCTCACATTGAAATGTATAAATTCCATAAACATGCATAACTTCCATGACCTATGAAAGAAGAATCATAATGAAACAAGAGATTTCAAAATACAGTTCTAGTTGATGAAGATAATGAATTTATCGGTTTGAACATACCATTAGAGCTCGACGTGTTCTGATCTACATTCCAGAAAAGCTCAGTTGAGTACCTCATGTAAAAACCAGCATAAAGTGCCCGGCCTTCTGTTCCCGGAAGACATGACACAATCGAAGAAGCTGCAACATTAAGACAAAAGTTACATCATTCCTTTCCCATGTTCTCCCAAGATTGAGCAAGTGAATAACTGTTAAATTAATATTCGAGGCGGAGCCAACAGCAAATCCCTTGTTCTTTCGAGCTTCAGATGACACATTACCAACAACCTCTCTGACAGCTTCATGAAAATTTTGTGTGTTTGAAGCATTTTCACTAAAAGAGCAAACATTTTTATCTTTTGAATCAAACACCTCATTGAAGAATGAATGATTCTCATATCTAACAAAGCACCCATCAAGAGAAATTTTACCACCTCAGTTTGGATAACATTTAGGTAGTTGGGATATTATTTCAGAGAAACACAGTTTGCCATCGATAGAACCTAAGTCTTCTAAACACTGACCAAGAGCAAAGACTGCATTTGGACCTTTGCCAACAACTGTTCCTAAGTTTTCTAAACACTGACCAAGAGCAAAGACTTCATTTGGACATTTGCCAACAACTGTTGTCCCATATCCATTTGCGCTTACTAGGGTACTCAAATTATCCATTGCAGGAACAAAATTGTTGGCTAGTAAAGCACCTGAAACTGCTCTGGCATTGTTGCAAAATTGACCCGCGACAGTTGTTCTTGGATCTCCCATTGCAGTGTTCCACAAGGTCAAGAACATGAACATGATCGTTAGAATCCAAGTTTTTGAATTGCCTATGATATCGTGTCTTTGTTGAAATCCTTGCAATCTTTTTTAATAATTCAATAAAGAACCCAAAGACTAGTTCCCTTGAGAACCTTATGGGATATTAGAAACTGAGACCACAGCCATTATATTAAGCTCGTCGAAGTTAATAACTCTGTGCAAATGTTACTTCTTTCAGCAGAAGACTTAGATTCTCCTTTTCAAATTTATGATTCTTGTGCACATTATCTCATCAACTGCATGGCAAATAAAACAGTTTGGTTTACATACGACAAAGAACAAACATCATTTGCAAGACACTAATTTATAATAAATCTATAAATAAGACAAGGCATTTTATCATCAAAAAGCGGGAAAAATGAAGCATAAGAAGACTGGTACAGATATTGTTTTAACCAAAAAAGAATCACAATTCTCTTGAAATCTTCTCCTTTCAAAATCTTATCCTTTCCACTCAAACAAAGCTCTTGGCTTTCAACTCTCAACCTATGAAAAAATTGTCTGTTTTTCTAATATTTAAGCAAACAGAAGTTTGTCCAATTAAAGAACCGATCTTTAATCATCTATAAAATGGCACATTGTGATCTTATATTAATGGGTGGGTGGGTGGGTGGGGGGGATTAATAAGAAACAACTCATTTCCAAAACCCGTTTCCATGAGATTATAAAAGAAGACTTGTCCGACAAAAAATCGCAACTTAACTCATTATGAAGACCAAAGAAAATCCCCTCACACAGAGTAATTCAACTGACCTTGTTAGCTGACAGAAAATTGATAAGAATGATCAGGAGCAGTACTCTGCCTGTTTCAAAGGAGCTTGTAAAGAAAATAAGGGAGTTATCTACTCTATGTTTTTGCCTTTTAATGGACAGTTTGAAGAGAAGACAGAATTCAACTTTTTGCATGATTGCAGCTTTCAAACTCTGGGCATGATTTCTTTTGTCCTCCCTTTATTTTCTGTATTGAATTTAGTTAGGTTTTAGTTGGTGGGAAGCTGTAGCTGGACTGTTTACATGGCTGATTGCCTGAAGCTTCAATTATTGCAGGTAAGAAAGCACACAACCACGGGGGTAAAAAACACTTTTAATTATCACACCTCTTAATGCACAAGCCTGACTAGCTCACCCAAAAGCCAATCTGGGCTTACACTGGGTCAGCTCAGGTTCAAGCACGAGTAAAGTAGGTTTGGGGATTCAATAATGTATTGCCCAACCCAAGCAATGCTCAGGTTGGGTTGGGTTCAGTGAAATAAAGTTAGATTTTATTACTACATTACATTACACAATTATGGTTGATTTTGCAGCATTGAAAGATTATGCTTATCCTACCCTATGTAGCACGGACACGGATCCGACACGGCCATCCGACACGCCGACACGAGGCAAATCCTAAAAAATATATAGGATACGTGTGTTCGACACGTGTGTCCGACACGGACACGACACGACACAGCTTCATGTTATGCGTGTCCGTGCTTCATAGATCCTACCGTTTCTTTTCCTTAACAATCTATCAGTCAGCCGTGACTGAGTCCAAAGAACTTGAATGGTAATTTTCTAACCATCGCCATCTCAAGTAGCTCACAAAAGAAACTTTTATTTCAAACAAAATATCACAAAATCAACACTACTGCCACCTGTTCCAAGTTCCCACCTGTTTCATCATTAGTCCAAACACTACTGCAACATAGTAAGCTTCACTTTCTATTGCAGATACAATCCTGTATTCGCCATACTGCAGCCATTTTCAATAGTCTAATTTTAGAACCATACTACTTATGAAAAATCTTTGAAAGTTCTCAAAATCATGCACAGAATTTGCATGATTGCAGCTTTCAAACTCTGGGCATGATTTCTTTTGTCCTCCCTTTATTTTCTGTATTGAATTTAGTTAGGTTTTAGTTGGTGGGAAGCTGTAGCTGGACTGTTTACATGGCTGATTGCCTGAAGCTTCAATTATTGCAGGTAAGAAAGCACACAACCACGGGGGTAAAAAACACTTTTAATTATCACACCTCTTAATGCACAAGCCTGACTAGCTCACCCAAAAGCCAATCTGGGCTTACACTGGGTCAGCTCAGGTTCAAGCACGAGTAAAGTAGGTTTGGGGATTCAATAATGTATTGCCCAACCCAAGCAATGCTCAGGTTGGGTTGGGTTCAGTGAAATAAAGTTAGATTTTATTACTACATTACATTACACAATTATGGTTGATTTTGCAGCATTGAAAGATTATGCTTATCCTACCCTATGTAGCACGGACACGGATCCGACACGGCCATCCGACACGCCGACACGAGGCAAATCCTAAAAAATATATAGGATACGTGTGTTCGACACGTGTGTCCGACACGGACACGACACGACACAGCTTCATGTTATGCGTGTCCGTGCTTCATAGATCCTACCGTTTCTTTTCCTTAACAATCTATCAGTCAGCCGTGACTGAGTCCAAAGAACTTGAATGGTAATTTTCTAACCATCGCCATCTCAAGTAGCTCACAAAAGAAACTTTTATTTCAAACAAAATATCACAAAATCAACACTACTGCCACCTGTTCCAAGTTCCCACCTGTTTCATCATTAGTCCAAACACTACTGCAACATAGTAAGCTTCACTTTCTATTGCAGATACAATCCTGTATTCGCCATACTGCAGCCATTTTCAATAGTCTAATTTTAGAACCATACTACTTATGAAAAATCTTTGAAAGTTCTCAAAATCATGCACAGAATTAAGGAGATTACCATTCTAAGAGTAAACTAGATGGGTTGGCGAAGTAAAGACGGATATTGTTACTGATTGTGAACATAAACTTCATCAATGTGTTTGGATGATTTGGAATACTTTACCTCACAAGCGAGCAACAGCTTTCGCGAGTTCTCTGGAAAAATTGTATCCTTGAGTACCAACTAAAGCCATACTGATAGTAGAAGAGGCTATCTATAGAAGAAGAATAGCCATGTCAAAAGGCATGCTTTAGTTTAACAAGACCACAAGGATGTGCAAGATATATACTGGATTATATTGCATTTTCTTAATTTAATCTACAGGCATTTTTTTGACAAGTGTGTTTCTCCATATAATCAAAGCAGTGTAGTTGCTATGCTTGGGTTCTCTAAGAAGAAAAGGTATCAGCAAGAAAGTAAACCACAATATACGGTCGCATGCATTGATCATTGCAAAATATTACAGGAGGCATTCAGCAAATGAAAACTTGCTGCTGTTTGCATGAAAGAGGCAATGATTGTGAAGTTCAAAATGATTAACTCACAATGATAGGCCGGAAGTCAAAAACTCAATTCTGCTGGAAAAAAGAAGTATATGAAGCCAAGCTGCAAAGAGAAAAGTCACTTACTATTGACCTTTCTTCTTACGTTGACGAGAATTATAATTCTGAAGAAGAAATTCCCTCCAGACTCCATGCCTCACCTTTGAGCTTCTCTGCTTTATACTAATTTCTCCAGCGTAGCTCATGCTTGATACGAAAGAGAGAAAACAATAAAAGTTTCTCCTGGTTCTAAGCCTAGAAAATGATATGGTATGTTAGTTGTGTGTAGGTAGAACTTGTTTGTAACTCTGTGAGTAGGCTGTGTTATACTTTATAACAAATAGATATTACAAGGTATCAAATGTAGGAATCTGAGTTCTTGGGGAGAATGAGCAAGGTCCAACAAGAAGAACGCAAAGAATGGAGCATTTTCTATACTTGCATTGTACTCTTTCTGATCAAAACATTACCATTTCTGACATCAAGAGCTCCAATACCCCATATATCTCCAAGGACTCTATGTGGTCAGCATTCCAAGAATAGAATGGATGAAACCTATCTCTAATCTGAATCCAACTGCTTCCTCCCCCCTTCTTAATTCCTGCTTTCCTCATCAATCTCCTCACCTTTGCAGCTTTCTTCCATCTCCCAACTGAAGCATATAAATTCGAAATAACAACTTCTTAGCTGCTCTCTCACCAATTTCCTCATTACGAAAAGTACAAGAACCACTTAATAATGCTGCCCATGTGTTAGCTTCAGGTTCAACTGGCATCCTTCCAATGAACTCTTCGGCTTCTCTCAAGAGCCCAGCTCGAGATAATAAATCCACCATACAAGTATAATGCCTCTCATTTGGAAAAATTCCATACTCTTTCTTCATTGATTCAAAGTAATGGAGTCCTCTATCCAACAATCCACAGTGAGAACAAGCAAAGAGAATTGATAGGAACATTGTTTCAGTAGGAATGATGTTTGTTTCTTTCATTCGCTCAAATAATTCAATTGATTCATTGACACATCCAGAGTCTGCAAGCCCTTGGATCATAGCGGTCCAAGATACCTCATTTTTCTGAGGCATTTTGGAGAATATTTTCTTTGAGCTTTCAACATCTCCAGATTTGGAGTACATATCCAGCAGTGAAGTGCCGACAAACACTTCATTTTCTAACCCTAGCTTCAAAATTTTCCCATGAAGATTCTTGCCTTTCTCCAGTGATGGCAAATTGGCACAAGAATGGATAACACTTGAGAAGGTCATCCCCATAGGCACCTGTCCTGAGAATAACATGGCATCAAATGTCTCCAAAACTTTCCCATACCGTTCATTTAGATCATAGCCTGATATCATAGCATTCCATGAAACTATATTTCTCGCAGGCATTTGTTCAAAAATATCCTCGGCATCCTCTACTCTCCCATCAAAGCTATAGCCCCCTAACATTGTGTTCCACACAACAATATTCTTATCTAAAACAAAGTCAAAGACTTGGCGTCCATATTGAGACTTCCTACATTTTGAGTACATATCAATCAGTGAGCTAGCAACAAAATTATCATTTTCCATCCCAAATTTCACTACAAGAGAATGCACATTACTGCCAAATTGCAAGCTCGTAGAGCTAGCAGACGCACTGAGCACACTTGCAAAGCATGATACATTAGGCTTATATCCATCATGAACCATCCGATAAAAGAATCTCAAAGCCTCCAGAGACTCATCATTCTGGCTTAGCCTCGCGATCATTGTGCTCCAAGAGATCTCATTTCTTTCTGGCATTGAATCAAAGACTTGGCGCGCTTCTTTCAAGTCCCCCACCTCGAAATAAAAATCAAGAAGGGCAGTCCAAGAAATAACGTCCCTCACGATCATCTCATCAAAGACTCTCTTTGCATTATCAACTTCCCTCATCTTTGAGAACATGGTGATCAATGAATTGCAAACAGACACATGCTTCTCGAAATTAGTCTTCACAATCAACCCGACAATAGATTTCCCCATAGGCAACATGTATACATGATCATATGCAGAGATTATACAAGCCCTGATTATGGTTGTGAATGTTATCTCATTGGGCATCAATCCATCGCAAAGCATTTCCTTGAAAAGCAATAAAGCTCGCAACCCTAGCCCATTTCGTACCAACCCATTTATAACCGCGGTGTAAGATATCACCGATTGAAATGGGTTTCTCCTAAAATAGATAAGGGCATCACTGACGAGTCCACATTTCATATGGGCATCGACAATTGTGGTATATGTGACGATATTTCTCTCGGGCATTTCTTCGAACAGTTTGCGGGCGCTCTCGAGTTGGTTGGAAGCAAGGAAAGAAGAGATTATGACATTGTAGGCGAAGGGGTCAGAGTTGCTCTTGGATTTGATGATTTGGGCTTGGATTAAATAAGCAGTGAGGATCGGGAGGTGGGTTTTGGAGAATCGGAGGAGGAGAGAGGTGATGGTTTTCGCGGGAGGTGGGATTGAAATGGAGAGGGGCATGACCACCAGTTTTCTGTTATCGAAAGGATTCGAGAGGGAACCGAGTCTCGCGCAGGAGTTAACGGTAATTTCCTTGCCAAAAACACCCAGACTATATTTCTAAGATAAACCCCTGGCAGGCTGGGGAATTGCAAATTACTCCTGATATCAGATGCTGCAAATAACAACCTGAACTTTTTTGCAAATTACTTCTTTTATTTCTTAAAAAAAACCCCTGACTAATTTAGAAAGTGTAAGTAACCCCTGATCATTTATGCAAGTAACCCCTTGTTTTATATTGGATATTTGGATAGTACCTAACAATAAAGAAATTATGCATTAGACCTTATGCTTTGCTAAGAACCCCTAGTACTTTCAGAAAGAGCTTTAATATTTCAGAAATTGCACATAACCACTGAACTTTTGCAAATAGCCCCATTGATTTTTTGTTAAAAACTCCAGAATGTTTCAGAGATTGTGAATAACTCCCCAAGGTTTATTTGCAACTCCTAACCCTTTCCAAATAGCCCCTTGTTCTTTTTAAAAAATCCGCAGAACGTTTCAGAAATTGAGAAAGACCCCCTTGGTGTTTTGCAAATTACTACCTAAAATTATTTTCAAAAAACACCTTAGCGTTTCGGAAATTTTGTCTGGCCCAATCTTTTTTACAAAAACGCCAGAACGTTTCAGAAATTGAGAAACACCCCTTGGTGCTTTTGCAATTAACTCCTTAACATTTATTTGCAAAACAAACATTATCATTTCAGAAATTGAAGCTAACCCAAACTTTTTGAAAATAACCCCTTGGCGTTTTTACATGAAATCCGTGAATGTTTCAGAAATGGCAATATACCCCAATGGTGTTTTGCAGATAACACCCTAACATTAATTTGCTAAAAAAACCCTTAATGTGACAGATATTGCAGATAATCTCTGAATTTTTTTTATAAATAACCCACTTGAGTTTTTGCGTAAAAAACCCCGAGTGTTTCAGTAATTGCGAATAAGCCCCGAAGTTTTGCACTAAACGCCCAGACAAAACTGTCCTTAATTGAACCTTTAAAAGATGGAGGCGACGGTCGTCACTAATCATATTAAAACCCAACAAAACTTAGATAAAAAAGAGATTAGGGCTTTTTCAATTTTTAAGCGGCTTTCAGTTTCGCTCCCCCGGTAAGATCCCACCTCTCCTCCGGCGGAATCCCTAACCTCGCCGTCGCCGTGAAAATCGTCAGCGCCACCCGCGGACGAGCGAGACAACCCCCGCCGTTCTTGAGACCTCATCCTCTCTAACGAATCTGTCGCCGCCTCTCAACCCGGTTTCAGGTAATAAACTTCAATTTTTTTTTTCTTTGGCTTAAATAGCATTTAACTACCTTTAGTATAAACTATCTGCAATTAACCCCTAAATGGATAGATAAACACACAGACTTATCCTCAATAACAATCGTAACGCACGTGAATCTACATAACACGGATTTTTACCTTCACAAGATGCAAACCTTGAATGTTCCGATCGATGACATTTTTTTCATACGTCACTCCCTCAATGCCGAAACTTTCGCCATCATCATAGACTAGATTGCAAATCGAACTTACAATCTTCGCCCTGGGGTTGGATGCTAAGATCTGAAATAAATAGGCCGATCATTTTTGACTAGATCTTCAGGAGTACGTACGTATCATAACAGCCACAATCCCTAGAAGCTCCAAATTTTCCACGACTTGAAAATATTGCTTTGTCCCTTTCTGAACGATCTTGTGCTTGTCATACTTCCAACAGTTTCAAGTGCTCTAGATGTCGCCGTGCATAGTTCAATGAAGCCTAGTTTTCTTCAGAGCATCTGTTTAGATTCTCCTCTGCTAAAGCGTCAATTGATACCATTCTCAGGGCAACCCTACGAATTGATGGAAGCTTACTAATAAGAATGTGAGCCTTTGCTTGGACAAAGGAATGCTTCTTCATTGTTTCTAAGTTTGTCGTTGAATTGAAGCAAATCTTCTGATGAAGATAAAGAAATCATAGTAGTTGTTCATGCCTGCTAGAATATTCCGATATGTGCAACTTTTAGTAAAAAGAAAGTGTCTGAAAAATATATATAAAAAGGCAGCGAGAATAAACGAAAACATGCAAATAAATAAACATTTTGTTCACCACCTGTTTCATTTGCGTTGTGTTCGGATATAAATGTAAATTACACTTTTCTGGAGAAAGGGGAACAATACACAATTTGGATACAACAATTTGTATTTGGAATGAATTTTAGAATTTCATGATTCATCTCCAGAGATTGATAAGCAAAAGTCTTGGCACATGTTGACGACCATTTTCTTTGCTCTTAGTATCTTCCAGCAGTATAACAAAAAAAAAGAAAGAAAGAAAAAAGAAATCAAGCCTCCAGGGGGATAACAAACTTCTATGTCATTCAAATTGGCAACCAATTATTTCTGCACAAACAAGTTTATAATGTCTGGTTATCCGTCGACGAGAACGGGAAGTTGTTCGAGGCAAAGGATCATTGTCCTTTTCAAAGGATGTTTGAGAAGCAGAACGTTTCAGAAATTGAGAAAGACCCCCTTGGTGTTTTGCAAATTACTACCTAAAATTATTTTCAAAAAACACCTTAGCGTTTCGGAAATTTTGTCTGGCCCAATCTTTTTTACAAAAACGCCAGAACGTTTCAGAAATTGAGAAACACTACCTAAAATTATTTTCAAAAAACACCTTAGCGTTTCGGAAATTTTGTCTGGCCCAATCTTTTTTACAAAAACGCCAGAACGTTTCAGAAATTGAGAAACACCCCTTGGTGCTTTTGCAATTAACTCCTTAACATTTATTTGCAAAACAAACATTATCATTTCAGAAATTGAAGCTAACCCAAACTTTTTGAAAATAACCCCTTGGCGTTTTTACATGAAATCCGTGAATGTTTCAGAAATGGCAATATACCCCAATGGTGTTTTGCAGATAACACCCTAACATTAATTTGCTAAAAAAACCCTTAATGTGACAGATATTGCAGATAATCTCTGAATTTTTTTTATAAATAACCCACTTGAGTTTTTGCGTAAAAAACCCCGAGTGTTTCAGTAATTGCGAATAAGCCCCGAAGTTTTGCACTAAACGCCCAGACAAAACTGTCCTTAATTGAACCTTTAAAAGATGGAGGCGACGGTCGTCACTAATCATATTAAAACCCAACAAAACTTAGATAAAAAAGAGATTAGGGCTTTTTCAATTTTTAAGCGGCTTTCAGTTTCGCTCCCCCGGTAAGATCCCACCTCTCCTCCGGCGGAATCCCTAACCTCGCCGTCGCCGTGAAAATCGTCAGCGCCACCCGCGGACGAGCGAGACAACCCCCGCCGTTCTTGAGACCTCATCCTCTCTAACGAATCTGTCGCCGCCTCTCAACCCGGTTTCAGGTAATAAACTTCAATTTTTTTTTTCTTTGGCTTAAATAGCATTTAACTACCTTTAGTATAAACTATCTGCAATTAACCCCTAAATGGATAGATAAACACACAGACTTATCCTCAATAACAATCGTAACGCACGTGAATCTACATAACACGGATTTTTACCTTCACAAGATGCAAACCTTGAATGTTCCGATCGATGACATTTTTTTCATACGTCACTCCCTCAATGCCGAAACTTTCGCCATCATCATAGACTAGATTGCAAATCGAACTTACAATCTTCGCCCTGGGGTTGGATGCTAAGATCTGAAATAAATAGGCCGATCATTTTTGACTAGATCTTCAGGAGTACGTACGTATCATAACAGCCACAATCCCTAGAAGCTCCAAATTTTCCACGACTTGAAAATATTGCTTTGTCCCTTTCTGAACGATCTTGTGCTTGTCATACTTCCAACAGTTTCAAGTGCTCTAGATGTCGCCGTGCATAGTTCAATGAAGCCTAGTTTTCTTCAGAGCATCTGTTTAGATTCTCCTCTGCTAAAGCGTCAATTGATACCATTCTCAGGGCAACCCTACGAATTGATGGAAGCTTACTAATAAGAATGTGAGCCTTTGCTTGGACAAAGGAATGCTTCTTCATTGTTTCTAAGTTTGTCGTTGAATTGAAGCAAATCTTCTGATGAAGATAAAGAAATCATAGTAGTTGTTCATGCCTGCTAGAATATTCCGATATGTGCAACTTTTAGTAAAAAGAAAGTGTCTGAAAAATATATATAAAAAGGCAGCGAGAATAAACGAAAACATGCAAATAAATAAACATTTTGTTCACCACCTGTTTCATTTGCGTTGTGTTCGGATATAAATGTAAATTACACTTTTCTGGAGAAAGGGGAACAATACACAATTTGGATACAACAATTTGTATTTGGAATGAATTTTAGAATTTCATGATTCATCCCCAGAGATTGATAAGCAGAAGTCTTGACGCATGTTGACGACCATTTTCTTCGCTCTTAGTATCTTCCAGCAGTATAACAAAAAAAAAGAAAGAAAGAAAAAAGAAATCAAGCCTCCAGGGGGATAACAAACTTCTATGTCATTCAAATTGGCAACCAATTATTTCTGCACAAACAAGTTTATTTATTAGCGTGTTACCCGTGTTGGGCCTGTTGGCTGCAAGATTCCACTGGCAAAGGCCATCAAAGTCATCACAAATCTCTCGAATATCTTCTAAATACTCCTTGGTCTCTTTACAGGATTCCAATAGTAAATTCCTCTGAAGATGGCAAAAGTTTAGGATCAATAGATTAATTATTACCGCAAGATGGACACATTGTACCTTGATTTATGTAAATATTCTTATACTAGGACGCAATGGATAAGCCATAAACATGCCACCCAATAAAGGTCATAAGCATTGAACCAATTGTGATTTATGCAAATCGTGTCCTTCTGCAATATAGAAAAAGATGAGCAAAACTTCAACAAATTTGATCTTCATAGTCCTCCAACAAACATTCATCTACGAAATGACTATATAAATATCTGCGAAACTTACCAAATTATGGACCTGATGATACCATCCACTTGGCACTAAATTTACTTCATTCTGTTCTTGAGCAGCCTACGTATTGCTTTGTAGTCAAGAATTTTGCGGATGAAGATAAAATGAGTCATGGGTTATAGAAATTTTACTTGAATCCTGGTTGATTCAGAAATATCACCATGAACATCATATATTAAGGTTGTCAAATTCCTACACTAACAATATGCAAATAGGCAGACTTTGTTCATCGTATGGCAAGTTGTCAGTTACATTGTCGAAGGATCTTACAAGGAATAAACAGCATAAAAGCTAAGCCACATTGGAGAACCAAACGTCAGGACATACCTTTAGCCAGAAATATACTACATTATGATAGTAATATGAAGTATTTCTCAGGGTTAAAAAGCAAAGAAATGGCTTACATCGATAACCAGGTGATGATGGATAATTTAATAGGCACTAGTTATCAATGCTAGCACGAAACTTATTCTTCTCGAGAAATACAGCAATCTAAAGGTAGGATTAACATATATCTGTTTCTGTAATTAAGGGTTTACCTTTTAATATGTCCATGTTTCCAGGGGAATTAAGCAAGTCTACAGTGTTTCAGCATTACATTCATTTCAAAAGACATATCTGGATCAGTTCTTTTTCTCAGTGATTAAAACAGTTCAACTAAGCAAATAAAATTAATAAAGAACATTATCGGAGCTCGATCAACATTATGTGTTAAGCATTCATTACTGGTTAATCCTTCTACAAATCAATCAACTCTTTTAAACTTAGGCACATTATCAAAGTTGTACCTTATGCTAAAGTATTCATCACTCTTAATTTTCGCTTTTGTTTTTTGTTTTTTGGTCTTACTTTTCTGATTTTAAGGCAAAAGTTGCCTATGATATATGAACACAGACAGCGGCATATCTGTTTCCTTTTGACATGTGGATTTGAAAGCTTATTACTTATTCTTTAACCAAATATAAGGTGAGTAATGTCCTTCTTAAATTATTATTATTTTTTATTATAGGGAAGACACTGCTGGAAACATGACTTCTAGCGACGGACAAATCCGTCGCTAAAATCCGAAAATCCGTCGCCAAAAACTTTAGTGACGGAAAAAATAAAATTCCGTCGCCAAAAGATCGTCAGTATAGTGAGGGTAGCTGAAATTGGTTTTAGCGACGGATATTCCGTCGCTAAATTTTAGCGACGAAAAATTAGCGACGGATAATCCGTCGTATTACTTTATTTAAAAAAATAAAAAAACATTAGCGATGGATTTTCCGTAGCTAAAACATGTTTTAGCTACGGAATATCCGTCGCTAAAAGTTATTAGCGACGGAAAATCCGTCGCTATAACTATTTAAAAAAAAAAAAAAAAAAAAAAAAGTCTATAAACTATTTAAAAAAAAAAAAAAAAAAACGAATATTCCGTCGCTATTAACTTTAGCGACGGAAAATCCGTCGTTAATATTATCTGTTTTCCGTCGCAAAAAGTATATTTAGCGACGACTAATCCATTGCTAAAAGCTTCCAATATTTTTTTAAAAATAATTTGAAAATTGAAAAAACCTGTACAATAATATAATAAATTTAAAATCCTGTTCAATCAGCAGTATAATATTCATTCTCACGCATATATAACACATAATTTAATTAAAATATCCCAACATAATAAGCGTTGTTTATACAGTACACACCATGATAAGTATTGTTTATACAACACACTCATTCATTGTTTTCAAAGGTAAAAAAACAAATCAGTCCTCTTGATCATCATCCTCATCACCAGCTCCACCTTGTCTAGAAGTCCCGGCCTGCAATTATAAATCAAACGTTAACAACATGGCATGACATTCAAGTATAGCAATAAGAGAGTATCATGACATATTCTTATGTATTATACGCACGCACACACAATTTTTACAACAACGCATACACACCCTAACAACGCATGCACGCATAATTTTTACAACAATACGCGTACACGCACAATTTCTCACCATATGCGCATGTACGCGTACATGCTCATACGTGTACATGCACATACGCGTATACGCACGCACGCACACATACACGCGTGCACGCATGCACGCATGCACCACACTCCACACCCCCCACCCCCCACCCCCTCCCCCTCACCCTACATCACCACCACCACCAAATCCACACTCCTTCCCCTCCCCCACCATGACCAAATCACCCCCAAGCAATCACATAACCAACCATACGCACGCACGCACCACAACAACACAACCACGACCAACTAACCAATTCACCAACCAATACTATCATCACTACGCATGCACGCATCATCAACACCACCATCACATAAAAATATTATACGCATGCACACACGCGTACACGCGTGCATGCACGCACGCATGCACACACACATACACGCATGCACCACACTCCACACACCCCACCCCCACCCCCTCCCCCCCTACATCACCGGCATCACAAAAACCATATAAATCAAAAGTGGTGCTTTTTGGATAAAATAAACCAAGGTTAGAAGTATATATATATATTACCTGATCCGCCATAAATCGCCTCCTATATGCCTCCTGAGCCTCCTGAGACTGAGTCGACATGAACTGTGTGAACTCTAATGCTTGCTGCTCCCGGCGCCTCCGTTCTTCATCCGCAATCCGCTGATATGTTGTTTGCTGCGACTGCCAATCTTCAATCGCTTTCATACGCTGCTCCATCGAGTCTTGAAATGAACTGCTTCCTGGTGTTCCTGATGGTACTGCAAACTCGTAGGTGCTACTAGACTCGTGCGGCCTCTGCTCGGATCCTCTCCACCGGTATCTGTTCTTCCTACTCGGTCCAATGACCGTCTCGATGATGGAGTCCTCCTCCTCTCTACTTAGTCGGGCCGGAGTGTTAGAACCGACCTGAGACTGAGATATTTGCTCTTGTACCTTGAGATGTAATTTCTCCTGCGATATATCAAAACAATCCGGGCAAGTCAACTTTTTAATGATGCATTGTTATTAAATTGAATATACAAATGAACTGCTACTTACAGCCAGATCCTTGTTCTTCGCCTTCTTCTCTTCATCGGCGTAATTCGGGCTCCAAGAAGTCAGAATACGAATTGCAAAATGTCTGAGATCTCCCCTTCCCTATTTTATTCAAATACATTATTAACCCATAACACATAAAGTATACTCAAATTGATAATTTATAAGCTAATATATTATATACCTCAAGCTCCAATTGATGATAATGCTGACTAAAGGACCTGGAGCCCCCGTGATGCTCGTAACTGCGGGGAGCGTTGTGGTTCCTCCTTGCTATTTCAGCTTGAGCCTAGAAAACAATGTCAAATCAGGAAAATATAGAAATTTAGCATATAAAATGAAAAAATGTACGACAATAATACCTGGATTTCAGCCGTGTCCCAGTAATCACAAAGTGTAAAAAATTCTACTCCATCTACACGCTCGTCAAGATGCCAGAAGCGCTCCCAATCGTTTGTTATTTGAATGAAATACTTTTCCTTCACCTCAGATCGCCACCTCTTAAACGATAGATTGATTTGCGTGAAGCAGTAAGTCCAGGCACAAATGTTATCGTCAAGGAAGAAAAATCGCTTCAGCATATAAAAAAATAGATACAAATTAGTGTATTAAACATAATAATAATCTAATAACTCCAAATGATGAAAATCCAAATAAATGACTTACACATATATATCTCCAACAAGCCACCAGCGCATCAATTCGTTGTGATTTCCACGTCAAAAAAATATTAAAGAAATCATGTCTCCTGACTAAAGCGGCGAGAAAATTATTGAAAGAAAGACTAAAAATATCTGTTATAGGTTCTGCTTAAAATCAGGTGAAAGAAAGACTAAAAATATCTGAATTGAGGTTGCATGCATGTGAAGAGTTTGGGAAGATACATTTATTGATTTCGCATATGGATACAATGTGTCTTCACGCAAAGCCTTTTTTGCATGCATGAATTGGGAATTGACTGACTAATAAATCGTCAACTTGCACATTGAAGAAAGTGGAATTTGATGTTTTTCATTCACTGTAGCTAGCTCAATATATAGAGTTTACATGCTGTTGAGAAACCAAACTTACAGAAGCTAAAGAAGGAATTTACAACTGCATAAAATAACTAAGTTGATTCGAATCAAGACTCCGATCAAGCCGGAGATTTGATCTTTGCATAACAAAAGTAATTTGAGTTTGATTTGTTATCAAATCTTTCAGATTTGATACCGTCAAACATCCCCCTCAAGCTTGTAGAATGAAATACTCGAGCAAGCTTGCTAGCAAGAGATAAAAATTGGTCCCTACCAAGTGGCTTTCTGAATATATCCACAAGTTGAAGATGACTTGGTACATAGGATGTTTGAAGAAAACCATCTTGAATTTTGTCTCGGACGAGATGACAGTCAAGCTCTATGCGTTTAGTGCTCTCATGAAAAACAGGATTGGAGGCAATGTGGAGAGTAGCTTGATTGTCGCAGTATAGTTTGGCGGTAGTGAATTTGACTCAAACATTATGAATAAGATAACTGAGCCAAAGGAGTTTGCAAGTAGTAAAAGCCATAGCAGGATATTCGGCTTCAGCAGAAAACGAGAAACTATCGATTGTTTCTTGAATTTCCATGAAATAAGACTAGAACCAAGAAAAGTTCAATAACCCATTGTAGAGCACTAAGTCATGGGACAAGAGGCCCAATCAGAACATGCATGAACGTTGAGAGGGCTATTGGCTGAAAGAAGGGTGCCAATGCCTGGAGATGAATTGATATATTGAAGAACTCGAACTGCAGCATGCCAATGAGATTCACGAGGTGCACTCATGATCTTGCTAAGGAGATGAACCGCATAGACAATGTCAGTCCATGTGATTGTGAGATATAGCAAGCGACCAATCAAACAGCGATATTGTGAAGGATCCGACACGAGGGGACCATCGTCAAGATTTTGTTCCATGGAAAAAGCACTAGTGCCTCCTTCCAAGTAGACATCTCGAATAACATCTAAGGCATACTTCTTCTAAAAGAGGTAAATCCCTTGCTTTGAGTGAGCTACTTCAAGACCTAGAAAGAACTTGAGAAGGAGATCTTTGATATGAAATTTTTGAATGTAAAAATTTCTTAAGAAGCACAATATAGGAATGATCGTCACTAGTAATTGTAATGTCATCAGCATAAACAAGACCAGTAGGTACCAAGTGCCATGTTGAGGTATGAACACGGGATAAGCACAAAACCAGACTCCAAGAGGGTTATAGAAAATTTAGTGAACCAATTTTGTGATACTTTATAGATGGTTAAAACATATTTTATCAAGGTCGATGTTCAACTCGGATCTAAGAAGTGAAACAATCATGATTTAAACACTTCAAATGGGCCTGAAGTCAAGCCCACAACAGGCTATAGCGAAGCTCACCCAAACAAGCACACGAACATCACTACATAGCCACTCAGACATGATCTGATCAAGTCAATATTGAGCCCCTTGAAGCTCGCCGTTCTTTACCAAGCTTCACCTACAGCTCTTCACATGGGCCACGTCATCCACAATCTAAAGAAGAAGGCCCATCCATGATCAAGTGGACCTCATTTCAGCTCTTTTAGTGAGCTTCGAGGCACATAGTTATCGGCCAATTTCGCGTTCGGGCCTTTTGATGAGCTGTAACTGCTCCTCACTCTCTCCTAAATTAAAGACCACTTATTCCACTTATAGAGAGGCCATTAGCTCTCACTCTTAATCTATAAGAAGAGGGGGAGAATGTTCGTTTAAGAAAATTAGCCACTGAGAGATTCGAACTATCCGTATCACACATCCAAGCATTAGACTCTATACATGTCTCATAGATTGGCGATCTTCGAATTTAGGATGTAAGAGAAGGCTGAGCTATCTTTTAAGAGATCATCTCAAAGACCACCAGCAAGAGACCCCTTCATCTTACTCAGATCGTCAGTGAAGTACAAGATTGATGCTTCATCGGCACACAAAAAAGAACCTCCAGGAAAAAAAATATTTTTTAGTTTCATTATAAGTCTTCCAATTATAATCTGAGTTAATTGCAAATTTAAAAGATTCAAAAATAAGATGGAGATTCCGCTGGGGACTTCTTTCTCATCCGATGAAAAAACTGTGTTGCAATTTGATACAAAGACCTTTGATTCTTTTGTAGAATTGTTAGTCATCAAATTTGACCAAGCGAAGTACGAGGAATACATTTCCTCTAACCAAGCATCGATGGCAACTGTGAGGACTTATTGCAAAACTCGCCACAATGCAAATTTAGGGTCTAAATCACCCCCACATGTATAAAGGCGACATTTGCCAAAGAGTGTTTGAGCTTTGCTGAAAGCCAAATGAACTTTACTCAGAGCGAAGAATTACCCATCCCCGGCACTGCATGTAGGCGTCAAAAATTACCTATAAGTTCCCACAAGTAGCTCTAGATGAAGAGAAAGCGATGAATGTCCTTATCCGAGTCAAAAAGGATTATTCGATGCCAAGGGGAAAGTAAAGGAATGCGCGAAATGGAAAAACAACGAAGAAACAACTCAGCCAGGAGGTATGTTTCGCCCACAAGGGGCGAAACACCATGTGTGTCTTGCCCACACCATGTATATCTCGCCCATGGGAAGTTGTAGGTCTATTTATCAGCTTTCCAACACATCTTGAATTACCTCATTCTGAGATTAGACGAGAGAGTTAGAGCCAAAATATCGAATGTAGTACAAACTGTTTTCTTCAACCGAGATACGAAAAGTGTTTAGGAAACTACAAGATTGCTCATAGTTTTCGAGACAGGGAATGTGTCTCGAAAACAATGAGACAACCCATAGTTTTCGAGAGAAGGAAACTGTCTCGGAAACTATGGGGGAATTTCACACTTCCGTTGGCGGTTTTCTTAGGTTTTGCGTGGTCCACATGGCTTCATAACTGCTAGGGATCGTGTGTGAACATGGGAGGACTGTTTCAAATGAAAAGCATACTCATAACTGCAGAAATAATGGCACTTAAATGTGGGAAGTCAGTTACAAAAAGGACTGATTGAACTCCTTCTTCTGAGACAGGGAATGTGTCTCAGAATCTATGAGACAACCCATAGTTTCCGAGATACGGAAACTGTCTCAGAAATGGAGGTTGTCAAGTTGGTTTTATTTTAACTTTCTACCTTTAGTAACTGCTTGTAGGGTCTATAAATACTTCCCAAACACCTATATGCACGGGACCAAGCAGATTCTAGCCAGAGACTTGAGCTTTTGGCGAACTAGTTTTTATGCACGTGCATTGCACGTGGTTAAATATTAAAAAAATCTTTTATATTTATTTCATTACTTTAAATAAGTCAGATTCATCTTGAGTTCAAATATGTAAAATTGAATTATTAGATATATTAGTATTTTATTTAAATATTAATAAAAATAAATGTAATAGATTTTTAAGCTAAACTGGAAAAATATCCTTTTATTGATAAATTTGGGGCTAAGACAATCATATTCATATATTTATTTATTAAACCAGAGTTTAGTAGTGAGCGTGTATGTAAGAAGAAGAAGAAGAAGAAGAAGAATTCACAAGAATGATTAGATTAAGTTGTGGTCAAATGATTTTCATATTCTTACAACTCAAAGATTCCAAATAAAATCTCTGTGAATTCCAAGTTTTTAATTGACCAAGAGCTAGGAAGGGATATGGGCATTTCTTATGGGAAATGAGACGATGTTAGCACAAAAAAAGGATATAAGGGCAAAAAAGGAGATTAAATTTTATGATCCGGAAAGAATGTTTAAACATCTAAATTCCAGAAAGGAATAAAATCAGGGGATCCTTATGTATTAGCAACATCTAGCAACATCTTCCGACTAGAGAGATTAAATTTTATGATCCGGAAAGAATGTTTAAACATCCAAATTCCAGAAAAGAATAAAATCAGGGGATTCTTATGTATTAGCAACATCTTCCTCATATGGTCGGACTTTCTTCTGTCTGCATTCATGGGACTTCGTATGTGAATGATTACACACTAATGTGTCAATGCATCATGAAATAATTGTGTTTGCAAAACGCTTTTGATGATCTACATGGCTTTGTATGCATGACCAAATGGTGCTTTTTAAGTGAATTAAGCACTTGAAAATAATGTGATGAAAAATTATATTGTTGAAGGAGTATAATAAGAAATTCATGTCCTCCATTCTACGAATACATCGGGGACTAAAATTCCTCATTTTGAAGCTAAGGAGAAATTATATTGTAACTTGTTAAAATTACTGTTATTGCAAGGTTGTAAGAAAGTTTAGAGCTGAGGTTTATTGTATTGTTATCTAATTTGTCATCAAAATTTATATTTTTATGTCTTAGGCAATTAAAAAGTCACAAGAAAGCTTCCGCCTTTTGGATACTAACATCTCCCTTAATAGAAATAATGATGAGGAAATAATTAAGAACATATGCAACTTGCACAGGCCGATATTGGATGAGATGGAAATCCGATAGTGCACGTGAACAATCTATTAGTAGAAGAAGAACTTGCAAGGGATGTAGAATTAGCAAAACAAATATAAAAGGTACTAAATATCACTATAAAAGGGACTAAATATATAAAATTAAATTATTTTGATATTATGCCTTATAATAAGAGAGCCTTGACTAAGTATGAATGTGTTGTAATCTACGCAAAAATAGAAACTACTTAAAAGCATGCAAATAAAAAAATAAAAAAAGATAAAAAAATAAGAGGAAAAGTATTTGATTTCTATTTGGTTTAATCAAATAAAATATATAATTAAATAAATCTAAATTAAAATAATATCAAACATGAAGGTTTACCTTGATAGATGGGAGAACCTGCAACAATCAAATTCTTAATCCTCTAAATTTTGCATGAAAATTGAAAAAATTTAAAAAATTATCAATTGCCATAAAAAGTAATTCCAGTGTAAAACAAGCATCACCATTAAATCAAATACACAATATTTCTAAAGAATAATCTTGAAAATAAAAAATAAACATACATGTTGAAGGAGATGAAGTTACTATAAAAATTGTGTAATTTCTTTGTTTATATATAGACATGAGGTATTGTATGTGACAGGTAATAGTCATAATTAGAGTTTTATTAGGATTTGAATTGTGTTACAATCAATCGGGAAAAACAATATTTAATCAATCGGGGATTTTATTAGGATTTGATTTGTGTATAAAGTTTAAGTCTACAGATAAGAATAGTCAATTTTAGCAGCAGATTGAGCTAAACCATGCGTTACACTCCATGGATCCCACTACATTGCCCTAACGGGCTCAAGGGTGCAGGGTGTGACAGAGTATTCATCATATACATTGTTTCTTCTTCAAATTACAAAGCATGAGAACTCATTTTCAATATGAAATATAAAAATACGGTCAATAAATAAGAAGCTAGAGCAAAATATCTAACAACATGAAAGAACTACTTTGATTGGTCTTCTGAATTGCCTAACCTAGCTTATTAGAAAATAAACAAATCCTACTCCCAGTCTGTATTCGCCAAATCACAAAAAAACCGTGAAGAGAAAAAAAAAAAAAAAACCTTAAAAGCCGGTTCATCCTAGCATGGAAAGCATCGTCTAGCATCAGTAAGCTTGAATTGAGTAACAACCATGTTCTTCTTTTCTCCATTATGCTTGTAAACACTGTAATCAAATACTAATATAAGAACTCCAAGTAAACAACAAGCAACTGATCAAAAAATTAAAAAAATCGGGGATTTGTTATCAATAATCAGTTTATGACTGATAATCAAAGCAAGTTAAATCGGGGATCTCACCTAGTTA